AGACATTTTAAAAAAACATTTATTCAATGTATTATGCTGATATTGCCTACAAATTGGCATTAATGTCAACAAGCAGGGTTCCATGACAGTATAAAAGCATTATCTCTCCTGGTTATATACGTCATGACTATCTTTGCATTAGTAACTACCCAACTGTGCTGGTAGATGGCCATAATAGACGAACAGAAGATTTCCAGTAATAGATATCAGTTTATATAAAGAATAAAAAGTAATTAATCCAACAGGGCCTTGGAATTAATTTGAGAAAGGGATTCAGCAGACTCTTTGGGTAGAAAGATTTTCATCTACCACTACATTCTGTATTCTGTATCATCTCTAGTGCCTTAAGAAGCTTGCCTCAACGACAACATGCTCCCTCTCATTTCTTAGTTAAGTTGTTAGACTTAGATCTCAGTGAGCAGAGATCGAGATCAAAAGAGGGTGGTCTCCAAAATTCCTGTACTTTGAAGCAGCATTCAGTCATCTGGTAACCACATGACTGATTACGATACGGGGAAGCAGGAAAACCCATGTGATCTACATTGTAATTTAGGTTGTGGGGCATAATTTTCTTACTGATATATTGTGACTATCCCTTGTATGTAACCATTTATAATCTTAAAAAATAGATAGATAGATAAATGGATAGATGATAGGTATCGTAAGATGATCTAGTTGAGAATTTGACATTGAGATGGTTATGGGATGCAGTGCGTCTTGTATCTTTTATTGCCTGCATAGTGTTGATAGTAAGTGAAAATCTCCCATTTAATGATCTGCAACAAAACAAACAAAACCAAGTAGAATTTAAATACATAAGGTTTAACCCATACCTTAAACTATATCTTTTCAACTTTTATTTGGACAAACTGTAAGATCAATTGATTTATGTGAGAATGAAAAGACATTCATTAGCAGCAACAGGAAACTTCATTATAACAACTGTATAGATGTAGAACTATCCAAAGAAACACCAACTGATAGCAGACCAGGAGTGCTTGACCCATTGAGTACAGCCTTCTGCGTCTCTTGTAAAACACCTTTGGATTATATTAACACTCTTTACAGACTTGTGTTGGAATGTATTTGAAGCCAAATATATCTTTGAATCTTTCATTGTTTTGTTTCTTAATCACTTTGATGTTCAACATTTATCATTAATAATTAACGTCCAACACATTTGATGAAAAGAGAATAAACCATGTGCAGCTATCTACATTGCTTTACTATCATCGTGTTCATTAGGATGTCCCTTGACTGTCCCTTATTTAAATGGCAACTAATGAGACAATGACAGGTATTCCAAATACACCTTCGGAGATGAGAGTGGATTTTCAAAATTAATTTGAAACCATTTCTTTCAGAATTGCAGTGATTGTTTTGGCTTTTCTATACGAAAATAATTTTTGGTAAAGTATAATTTAATTTCTGCTGAGGTTTTTACTGTTCTGAAAGCCGTGTGGAACAATTATACACCCATGTCTTATACATAATCTTATACACTGCTAATATTTCTAGTAACAAAGATACATATCCATTTAAAACTACGTATTGTCTCGCAACAGTGGCCTAACCTTTCTTAAAATATGTGAATTAATTGAGTTTGTTAACTAAACGCCCCAAAATCCCAAGCCACTGTCTTTTAATAAATATATGTTTTGGATAATATCTGTCATTAAAAGCTAACACATCAAAAAGTGTTGTTTTATTGTGGGAGCAAAACAATTATATAAAACTTGTATGTTTGTACACTCAGTGTAGACCCATGTATTTAAAGCCACATGTAACCTTGAGCATTTTGTTGTATTGGTTCTGAATCACATACAGGTAAAGTGATATCTTACCTGCGAAGGTGAATTGTAACTACAAATATATGTTTATTACTTTTGCGTTGTGTCATTTGCACTTTACAAACAGATCATAAAAAAAAAAAATATGAATCACAAAAAACAATATTTACAACACTTAAGATTATTTTTTGTAATATTAAGTTGTGGTTACAACAAACAAAAAGTACAGAAATTCATCTGGCCATGGAAAAATATAATATAACATTTCATTACTGCATTAAAGCTTTGCCAAGTTTTGTTATGTATGGAGTTTTTGGATGAAGAGCAAAAAATGTTCTTTGTGTAAAGATGAAAGGTATAGTAAAAAATAAAAGGTGTACTAGCGTAGTTCATGCGCTATATTGCTCTATCTATTGTATGATCTTTACATTCTGTCACCTATAACTAAATATTTTGAAATATAAAGTGTTGATTGGAGCTATATTATCTACTAATGATAAAATGAGCGACCTCGCTTTTCAGGCAATTGAATAATTTAATAAAGAAGGTCTGCATATATATTGTTTTTGTCCAAGTGTAAATTGATATTAAAATGTTGGCTAGGGAGAGAACTTCTAAAGTTATTAAACAGAATTGCAAGTGCCTTTCGGCAACATTCAGGTCTAAGGAACAGGCAAGCCACCACGTCCTTTCCTTTAGCCTGAGGATGGTTAGCTCAAAGCCATCTCAGAACAGTCATTAGCCAATAACCAAATTATCTGTACCAAAGATGGATTTCATATCATATTTTCCCTGTGGCTAATATCACCCATCTGCTTTCTAAATAATGAAGTTCTGTTAATTGTTTATTTCTGCAGTTTGAGGGGATTTTAGATTGATATGAAACTAGTTTCACTGTGTCAATAAGACAAGCAAAGATAGCAAGATAGCAGCTTTCAGAAATTATATATATATATAGATATAGAAAGCGTGAAGAGAAATTATATATATATATACACACATATAAAAAAACAGATTTTAACATACTATATACATAGGTGCATAAAATTAGATTTTCATGTTTTTTTATTGTATCTAGCCTGCATCCATATATATGTATGCATATAAACACAAATGTTCACACTCAATTATATCACATGCTAAGGGATTTATCTAATCTTATATGTCAGCTTTTTAAAATAACATTGCAATGGTGTGCTGAAAACTACATTAAGACTATATATTATATATATATATATCTATATATGTATGTTTATATATAAATATATATATATATATATATATATATATATATATATGTCATTAAATCTGACAGATAGTGTAATGCTTTGTAAACCCCCATCAGCAATAGAAGTGTTAAAAAATAGCTGAATGAGTATTTTTAGCGAGGCAGTGTTTTTCAAGGTGTCATTCTGCTCTATGGATTTTGCCTTTAGGGAGTTTCTCAGAATTTAGAAGATCCACTCTTTTATACACACACTTTTCTCTCTCTATTGCAAGACAGACAGACGTATACATGAAAGGTACTTCTGTATAAAATGCAGTGTCAAGAGATGTACATGAATAAACACAGAGATATGTTATCTTTTGATTTTGACTTTCGTGAACATTATGAGGTCTATTTGATATTTGGAATACAGTTGTGGTGAGTTGAAAACCAAGGTGCAAACTTTAGGCCAAAATAGATGATGATATAAAAAAAAAAAACTCTTCTGAATTTCAGATTTTTTCGGTAACATTTCCCTAGTTTTTGCAAGCCAGATCTGATTCTGGCACATTTTGCTGTTTTAATGAGAAGACCCCACTGAGTTGTTGGGAGCTGATACCGGGATTGCAATATAAACACACCAGATTAGACCAAAATAGCTGGAAAAATTGGGGGGGGGAAATCCCACTCAGTTGAATGCATTTTTTTTTGCAACTTGACTGGTTTGGCATAAATCTATGCAAATCAGTTGTCAGCTGACCAAAACTTACTCTTTTAATGGAAACTGATCTGAAGTTAAAATCAATCTTACATTTCTGCTTTTCCAGAAATTGTGCTCAGTGCAAATAAAACCACATAGAGCATTGTTATGCAAAATAAGACATTGTTCAATGACGTACATTCATGATGTAGCCATGACATTAAATTGCGAAAGTGTAATATTGGCAACAATAATAAGTGATTGACTAAGTGGCAACTAAATACATCTCTGGGAGCAGTGGGTTTATATACAAGTTAATAGGTATATTACATTATTTTAGCATTTGGCATGTATCACAAAGAAAGGATTACAAGTGAAAGTCCATTCCATGTGTATTATACAGTTAAACAAAAACAAAATTGTTATTTTTATTTGAGGTCAAAAGATGACTGCTTCTAATTTTTCTTGAGTAAACAAATGGGTTCTACTAAAGCTGAATATAAGATAACTAAAGTAGACCAACTGCACCTGTAACTTGAGTATGAAATATTATTAAACAGATACTTAGTTGATAAGAAACATGCTGGCCTGATGAATTTCAAATAGTTCACAAATGCATAGTTATAGTAAACGCGAGGACAATATGGAATCAAATTTTAGTTTTTAGGACAATACAGGATAATAACAGTAGCAATATTTGTACAGAGTACACTTTTTAATAATGTAATCCTGTGAGGAGAACAAAAAATAAATAGTAGTAGATTTAATGTCCTATGGTATAGATTGTCATGGTAATTAAATGTTTACTAAATGTTGTGTAAGAATAAATTACCTTATTATTAATATTCTTGTACACAGAAAATATAAATAAATAATGGAAAACATTTAGAATACACAAGGCAAAGGGTTACAATAAAAGGAGTTATTGCTTATTGAATTCCGGTAAATATTTCAGTTTGGCAAAAATATTCAACTGAAATATAAAAATGTTTTACATTCCACACTTTATTATGTTTTTTTTTTTTTTTTAAATCAATGGTTTTGATTGAGCAGCATTTTGTCTCTTATTACAGCTGAAAAGTTTTGGATTGAAAAAATAAAAAAGGTCATATAATCACACTTTAAACCCTTGATTATTAATGTACATACCTCTTTTTAAATAATAAAAGCACTTGTTTGTGAGTCAACAAGTCAAAGTGTAGAAAGGCCTTTAAATACAGCTAAACACATAATATCAATGAAATATTGTTGAACAGGTAGTATGTTTTTTTAATAAAATACCATGGCAATACTGCTTCATTATCCTCACTTTAATACACCAAATATCATATGCATCAGATTTGTCCTAATATTCACTATGCATAGACATATATGATTAAAGAAAGAATACTACAGACATACAAAAATATAATTTTAAGCATTTTATTTGATCACTCTATGAAGTCAAATGATAAAAAGTTGAGTTGAGGTTCATGGATTTTTTCTTTCAAGAACAGAGTCGGTAGGTACATGGTTTGCAAATAATTTTATGAACAAACATAGAAAAAATAAATTAATGTTACCGGCTTAATGTCCTCTAACTATATACATTATTTTATTTAATTTGTCAGAGGATTTTGTTTTCCTGTGTCTCTTAGTCCACATGATAACAAAATCAACTGAAAATTAAAAGAAAAGAAGTAGAAAAATAATTAGGATAGAAACTGTATTTGCAAAATATGAAACTGTCCACTCCTCCTCTCAATTTTTTAAATTAAACATTCATATCACTTCAGGTTTGGGCAACAAAAATTGTATTCACACAAATACATTTAAAATGTATTTCATTTGAAAAAACACATTCCTGTGTCGAATTTTAATTCAAAATCAACACCTTGAGTGATTTAAATATATAGATGTATATAGATATATATATTAAAAAAAGACATGAGGCTTTTTAAAGGGGTTCCTTTTTATGTAAGTAATACAATATTACTTTAACATAAATATAAAAAGTAAATTGCAAATCTACATTTGTAAAAGTTACAAACAATTCACCAAACCGAAAAAAAAAAATATAATATATTGCAAAGTAATTTACAGAGCCAAACTCCAAAAAACAAAAATCGAGAAAATAAATAGAAAGGGTCAGGTTTTCTGGAAATAATATTAAAATATCCTCTTCAAATTAGTTAGTGTACAAAAGTGTGTAGAATGAAAAAAAAAATAAACAAAACATACACAACTTTCAAAAAACATACATATGTATACATATAACACATATTTACAACGTCATTAAGTAAAAATCTTTTTTAAAGTTTATTTGCTTTATAATGGAATATGTATGTATTTTTGATCTTTTCCTGTATAGCTCCCCTTTTTACAGAATACACAATATATTTGAAAACCTTTGGAGATCTGATTTGTGTTGTTTTGTTATAAGTATATTGTACTAAAAGATATCAAGGCAGTTAATTGATAAACTTAAAATCTAAGTGGGCAGTAAGAGTTAGATAGCAAACTAGAGTATTTTACCTTTAACAGTGTATTGACATTTTGGCCTTAGAAGCAGTAATAAAACTATGGTAATTAATAAGGAGACTAAATAATTCAAGTACCTCATTAATTAATATTTAGCAATATAGTTCCAGTGCTTGTTTGGACATGTAAATTTTGTTAGAAATAGAGGTTTTTCTAAATCCATTAGTATGATATTAGTAGTCTTATTTTTGATATGGAATAGTAAAAAAAAAAAAAAATAGAAAAAAAAATTAAGCAAAGGGGAGAAAAATAAACTTTGGATGTGTAATTTTTTATATTATACACACAGGTAATGGATTGGATTTTGTCCGTGGAAACCAAATAAATAATTATTTTATTTTTTTCTAACATGGGTTTAATAATAACCATTGTTTGTGACACAAGTACCCCAACTTCCATTGAAGTCCGGGGGTTAATAGTCTAATTAATAAATAACACATATTTCCATTCAAAGCTGCCAACGTCTTTTGAGAATGAGGATTTACATTAATAATAATAAAAAATATTCACAGTTCTTATCATTTGACCTTATCCCCGATATTCTGATCAATAAATTACCCCCCACCCCTTCTCATTTTACCTTCAGGAAGGAACAAGAACATTAGATGTGTTGATGTTTACCAAAGATAGTTGGGAAGGGGGTTTTTATTGTGGTATGGTATTAATTTAATCTTCTGGTGAAAGGTCCTCCAGTCTTTTCCTAAGGGTCCCGCAACTATTTTTCTTTTGTAAAATCCAAAAGTACTTACTTCATCCCCACCCCCTCAGGTCCCCTCATATATTTCTTAGTCATTGTACAGAGGTCTGCAGTGTGTGATGGAGTGGAGGGGTCTCTGCTTGCGAATACACATCCTCCATGGGGGGGTGTGGAACCCCTGCTGGGGTCATCCTTTTCTCTTTCTGCCTTCTGTTGCAAAACCAAACTCTCACCACCTCCTTTTCCAACTGGAGACTGTCTGCCAGGCTTGTGATCTCATGGGCTGAGGGTTTAGGGCATTTTAGGAAATGGTTCTCCAGGGCCCCCTTCACCCCGACTTCTATTGAGGTCCTCTTCTTTCTTTTCCTGCCCTGGGCAGCGATCTTGTCCAGGTTGGTGGGGCTTCCAGTAGTTGAGTCTGTCTCCTCCAGCCACTTGTTTAGGAGGGGTTTCAGCTTGCACATGTTCTTAAAGCTTAGCTGCAAAGCTTCAAATCTGCAAATTGTGGTCTGGGAGAAGACATTGCCATAGAGGGTGCCCAGGGCTAAGCCAACATCTGCCTGGGTGAAGCCCAGCTTGATCCTCCTCTGTTTGAACTGCTTGGCAAACTGTTCCAGGTCGTCGGAGCTGGGGGCGTCTTCATCTGAGTGATCTTGGTGGTGGTTAAGATGCTGTGGTGGTGACTCCACATGAGTGTCGTGGACCCCAGGGTCTTCGTGCAAAGGGTCTCTCATGCTGTGGTGTAAAGTGGATGCCTGTGGCCCCAGCATGCCGTTGAGATTCGTGTAGGATGACTGGGAGTAGATGAGGGGCTGGTGGCTGTTGGAGCTTGGGGACATCGGAGAAAGGTGGTGTCCGCCACTTTGTGCCCAAGCATGGCTACTGGGTGTCTGCTGGTGGACCAGGTGAGACCTGTGATGATGAAAGCTGCTGCTTAGGTCCTCCCTGCTGCTCTGTACTCCTCCTTTGCCATGCTCTGTTTGCCCACCTAGGTGGGATCCGCTGCCCCAGTCGCTGGTGGGATTGGGCAACCACTGGTGGTGAGTGAGGCTCATTGGGTGACCAGCGTTGGTGGCCAAGCCTTGAAGGTACTCTTGGTGCATCATCTTCTGCACCTCTCTGTAGGTAGTACCCTGGTGCATCCTATCGGAGTCCGGATGCATCAGAGGGTTGGAAGGCAAGGTGTTATTCCTGGGTAGATACTGAGCAGTTGCAGCCATGGCTCCTACTCCTTAACTGGCTGCAACTTCCCAGCTTTCTGTGCTTTAGAACCTCGCTCCAGCCCGGTGGTGAGCGGCCGCCCCCAGCTTCCACATTGGCTTCTACTCATCTGATTGACATCTCAGCCTCACGCCCTCCGTCTCGATTGGTTCCTTTCTTCCTCCTGATAGGACACTTGCGATAGATTGCCCCTTTGCTGCTATCCTCCATTGGTTAGCAGCATTCATTCATGCTGTTTTGCAAACAACCACGTGGGGGAGTCAGGAGTGTATTTTTCGTTCTTTACATGAAAATACTGGGAATATTGCTTGCCTTTTTTTTTACATTGGACTTTCTGTATAGGAGATATGCAGGTTTGGCTAGAATTATGCATTATTAATTCCTATTATTATGATACTTGATCACGGCTAATTAAGAGCATTCAGTGTAAAGGGGGCTGTTCACTCACTATGTTAATTGGGCATGATCTAATTTCGGGTTATACAAGATTAAGAGCAGGGGAGAAAAAAAAAAGATTATTTGATAACCAATCTACGCGAGAACACCATCCGATCTACCTTGCCACCTAGAACGGGGGCACAGCCCAGAAATTGCGAATAAAGTAAGGATTTGGGAAAGTAGGTTTGGGGGTCGATAGGAAAAAAAGGGAAAATAAATAAATACAATCTAATAGATTCCAAATTCTACTTGCTTTTGATTTAAACTTGCAAAAAGTAAGCTGAGATGGTAGGACCAGGTGCATGGGAAACAGAAGTTTTTGATTGAAAAATTCCTTATTATGGGGTTTTGAAAAAATAGAAATTAAAGCAAATCACATATTAGGTGGTTCTCGAGTTTAGCAATTGCAGGGGGAAAACAATTGTCATTCTCACTAATCAAACACTTTATCATAAAAACAATTCAGTCTGCTGAAATATTTCCATGAGATGTGCATCAATGCTGTGATACACATGCATTTGTTTTAATCTGTTTTTTTTAAACTTTGTGGTTTAATTGAAATTAAAACACGCTCTTGTTTTGAGTGCAATACATTTTATTTTTTAAAATGAAATCGAATACAGCCCTATTAAGTCTGTAAATAATATTACAAACCTATAATTAACTTAAATCATATAACAATGCTGCATAGCGTGAGCTGTAGTTAAATCTGAAGGATTTACTAATGAGTGAATTTTTATTTCTTTCTTTTATTTACTCTCAATATTAACTGTAAAAAAAATAATTAAATTTATTTTTTTTTTAAATCATACTAGTGCTTATTTAGCTGAAAGCGTGTTTGTTTTACAGCAGGTTTATTCAGCAAACTATAAACCAGTTTATTTGTGTCTGTGCCTTGTGAAAGTTCAGAGACACAAAAATGAAATATTCTGTGTTCTAATGAGGGCTTCCTCTGACGATCTAATAAAGGAGAAGCGTTTGCTGACAGTATTTGAAATACTGGAAGAATCACTATTATTTTCCAGACTCTGAGTCTTTTCTTCCCTCGCCTAGTCTCCAAAAGTCGTTAAATCAAAATAATATAATTACAAAGGCACTCCAATAACTGCAACTAATTATTTTGAATTAAATTTTAATCCTCTTGCATCTATCAGGGCATGAAAAAACAAACTATTTACTAGGCTGGATGTTATTTAAGAAATAAAACTGCATTTTGGTGCCTTTCAAAGTCAATTAGACACTGATGCCCATTTCTCTCCCTCTCTCCCTCTCTCTCCCTGAACTGATTTCTGATTGTTTTTCTGTTCACGTTTTGCCCTAACTGCACCAGTTGTATGAATTGCAGAGCAGCTGCCATACACATAGCAAGAGGAGAGCTGAACGCATTCACACAATCAGATCCCTCATGCACATTCCTAGCCCATTCAACACAGATCTTACACCCCACTTACTGACTGCATACACCCTTCATCTTTATATATCTGACACCCAGCCCACAAAACTCCAGACTCTCTTTAACCTCAAAAGAAAATAACATTTTATTTCTATTCTAGATCCTTATGCCAAGCAGACACTTTTGGTAAGTCCTGTTACTTCTTAATTTCCTAGCCTTTTTTTTTTTTATTATAGTATTGACATTTTATTTGACAGTTTTCAGTATGCTGTTTTTTTTTGTGTTTATCTTAAGAAAAACAAGTCATATATTAGTTTGGATATTGGATAATCAACACTCTACCTTTTATTCTTTGTTTATTTTCAAGGCAATTGGAAGTAGGATTTCTGATTTACTATGCTGTATTTTATTTATTCATTTATACTGGTGAAGATGACAGTATTTTAGACTTTCTGGGGGGAGGGAGGGGTGGACGGGGAGCATATGGGAAAAGTTACTTGGAACAAGTAAATGTAAAAGGTTATTGCACCTATTTCATACATTGCTTTTCTAGATATGTGTAATGTTGCACAATATATACAGTGATTTTGCTAAAATCTGTGAATTTACTTATGCATATTTTTATTCAAGAATTTTTTTTATCATGCTTTGATATCATTGCATAGTATAAATATATATATATATAAAAATCACACCTTTATAGTGATACACACACACACGTGTGTATTAAGTTAAGAAATCCTTATATTTCATTTTCATTAAATCACATTGTAAACTGCAGACTGTAGAAGCAATTATCTCTTCATAATTTTTGTTTTGTTTACGTTTATGATGCTCATTCAGTTTGGTCTTAGTGAAACTAATGCCAAGCAAAATGCATCATTCTGCTAATAATCTTTTCATATTTACATGCAACAAGATCATGTGAACATGGTGTAGCTATAGCTAAAGATACATGTCTGGTAATTATATACACAAGAAAACTTTATTATGTTCAAACAGCATTATTGGATATGGAATTCTCATTAACACCTCTTTAAAATCTAAGCATTGCTATCTAAGTGCCAAGCAGCTCATTTTGCAGAAGGGAGGCACTTGGTAAAATAAAACATTAAATTATGATGAACTAGCAATGTACTTGATTTCAAAAAATGTGTTTAACCTATGGGCTGCCAGAGGGACGGCTAGTGCTTTCCAAATTGTCTCCATTCCTTATGTTTATAAAAGTTTTATGAAACCTGCACGTTACTAACACGCAATTATACACAAACAAACACACGCACTTGTGAACATGCAAACACTGACACACTCACAAACTGTGACAGGTGTAATCCTGTTTCTTTATGAAGTTTAAATGATGACAGTAGACCTTCATAATAAAATTCTGCACCTAAAATATCTATCTATCTATCTATCTATCTATCTATTTATCTAATTACTTCCCTTCTTCATCATACATCATCATCTTCCATAACATTAAGGAACACTAGCTAAACAACCCTTTGGCTAAGTATTGATATGTTCCTTGTTATTTACTCCATTTTATATCATGCCATCTGTGACTGCACCCCCTTCCCCGAGGGAGACCCTAGTCCCTTGTTTTAGTTCTTTTCATGTACTTTGTAGTTTTTACGCTATTCTGTTTTATTGATTTGCTTAACTTGTGTTATTGTACACTGTAGTTTTAAAGAATCGTAAGACTGTGTGTGGTACCTAAATTGTAGTTAAATCTCATACTACTTTCATGGAATTTTGTTGGGAACAATTATTGTTAGGGATACTTGTTGGATAAAAGGTTGATATTGAGTATGCTTGGCTGGAATAATTTAATACTAGTGGCACTTGTCTGGAAACAATTTAGAACCAGTGGCTTAGATAAATAGATATGCATTAAAGAGATCACAGAGTTTTCAATATGATTTATTCCATATGCATATGCATCACACACACACACACACACACACACACACACACACACTGTTCAATATATATTCATATATATTTAAAATCCACGCACATATTCCAACTGATTATAAATATATATATATAACACACATTTTTATAGTGTATTGACATATCTCTATGTTTTACTTTTAGCCTCTGATTGTGATGTCTGCAACTTTGAATTTGACGTTTGCACAATTTCAAAGGTATAAAATCATTATTAGTTATTTTTTTTCTGGTTTCTTTTCATTTCCAGATACCTGGAAGTACAGACTCTTGTAACCTGCAGCCTGGTATATTTTCTTGTTCTTCAAATACAGCATCAATTCCTGCATTTTTCCGTGCTATACCCTGTTTGACCCTGCTTGTAAAAAAAATACAAGTATGTTGCTTCCCGTCTGATGTCATTATGACCAACTCCAAAAATTCCTTGGTTTCTTTTTACAGTTATCCTAATTTGTAGACATCAAAAGCTGGGGGATATGGCTGGATCCCTGTCTAAAGAAAGACTAGCTGTTATGGTGTAACAGGGACAGGCAGTAAAAGTTGGTTAAAAGTGTCCAGATTGGCCATTCTGAAGAATATGGCCTTGTCTTTGTGAAGGAACATATTTGTGAGCATCCAAATGGTAACTATGGAGAGGGAATTAAAGGGCTTACAGAAAGCACACTGAATAGGGTTCAACTAGAGAGAGTGAGAGAAAGGATTCTGTTTAACCTAAAAAAAAACAAAAAAACTCCAGCAACAAAAAATACACTCTGTGTATGCATCGATTCCCAAAATTTGATTTTTAATAGCATTGGTTAATATTAATAGTGAAATGAAGGACTTTACATATAAGTAATTTATATATCTATATATATACTTTGGGTTTCCATTTATGAAGGACAGATACAATAAAATGTGAACTACAAATTAAAGAAGAAAGTAGGGTACTGGTGTCTTATCTACTGTTTGAGTAACCCCTTTACAATTAAATTATTTGCAAACAGTTCACCATCAGAATCTGTATGTGCTCTGTGTTCTGAAAAGTAACACGTAAATGAATAAATAGCACATTATTCAATGACAAAACTACAGTATCGTTGTTGGTCCTTGTTTATTACACAAATGGGAAACCTCAAATGAGTAACAGAACAATGAAGCTAAGCACCAGAATCAAATATTAATTTCTTTTGTTTATTAAACTGGAGATAGACATGTATACAAGGGGTTGTAGTATGGACATTTACCACTCCTGTGCACATGTACCATCATCAGAAGTGAAGGGGCCGTTACCCCTTAGCAAAGATACTCTTCCACCTCTGCTGGAAGGCTTATTCATGAGTTCACTGTACTTTTTGGATGTATATTGCAATTTCATATACTTCCTCTGAATATGTTTTAATGGAGCTCTGGAGCTAGGATACTCTCGAACTTTCAGATAACTCGAGTGACATATATATATATATATATATATATATTGTGTGTATAGTACGTAATATTTATGTGTATGTACCTATGTAGTTTTGTGTTTATATATATATATATATATGTATGTATGTGTGTGTGTGTGTGTTTACAGTAACTTAATATAAATCTCCATATATTTAAATGGAAACAAATATATGTTGTACTTAATTACTTATGTACGTACTTCAGGACACATAATCAATTACCATTCAGGTATAACAGTCCTGAGTGGCTTTCTTCTTTTAGGTTGTATGTGGTGTGTCCTTTTCAGTGTCCTCATATAAAATACATTTGTGTATCCATTATACTACTGATTCTGTAATATGTGTGTGTATGTATGCATATATATATATATTTATTTTTTTTAACATTATTATTATTTATTTATTTAGTTATGGTCACTGGTAAATATATATTGCCAAAAAACACATGATATTCACATCCATCTTGCAATTCACATTAATAATGCATTGTCATTTTTATATTCATAATCCCCACAACTCCCAGGGCTCATGCTAAGCCTCCTGTGCAGTCTTTTCCAGAGACTGCATTTGTTAGAAGGCCTCAGTGGGACAACTGCTTTCATATGTACAAAGGCCTAGACTTTTGACTTGAAAGGCAAGTTTCTCTTTTCACAGCACCACCAACCACTTGTGTATACAATGACATCAGTGTCTTTACTATACCTGCAGATGGCTACCGCTCTAGTCAGTCATATAGTCCACTGCCATATTTATTTATATGGTGCCACAAGTGTACTTACCTCTTCAAAGTAGATGTAGGAGCAAATGTTTTCACCAAAGAGGAGACCTACAAGTAGTCAATGATAAATAGCAGATGAAAGAATAGCTGGCAAAATTAACATTTTAACAGGAAGTGTTCATATATTATTAATAGTTAAAATACCAGGCTGTGCATTTGGATTAGTTGCTATGAGTACACTTTAAAATAAATCCAAGTTAAAATTGAAAGATGTAACAATAGACGTGAATCACTTATCCCATCTTAGCGTCTGTTTTGAAATATCAGACCCAGTTTAATCCTAACACATTGTATTTTTATACCCAGTATAGCCTCACACCCATTACAAACAATTCAGGTTCTCAGAAAACAGATCTTCCTGTATTGCAGCCATCGATAATGACTGGCATTTCACTTGTTGGCACCTTACGCCATGTTCAGCCAGCACGTAGTTGTGCATGATGGGTGTTTGTAGTGCCCATCTATATCGTCCCCTTGAATCCTAGAAATTCTGAAAGGAATGTTCCTCTCTTCCAAAATGCTTCCAGGCTCTTTACAAAAACTGAAGGTGCTGCTATAATGTTTGTGTTTCTATTGCACAACAAATTCAAAATTGCCAAGACAAACATTACTCCATAAAAGAAAGGATGAGTGTTTAAATAAAAATAGGTAACACCTGCAGTTGGACAGAGATTAAGGTGTGTTTAATGATGCAGTGAGTTAAGCACACGGAGACAATATCATTTATAAGTTTGTATCTTAGCTCTTACTCATTACGACACTGCTATCATGAAACCAGTGCTTCTGGGAATTTTCTCTTTGCATGGGAATACCTGGGGTTTGGTGGTTAGGGGTATTTAATTAGGTTATGTTGTTTGATGAAAGATTTAAAATCTGTAATTCCCTGTGACCTGGTTATTTGGACCACTTGCAAGGTGCTTTTGTTTCAGAACTTGAAGAAGACCTGCCGGATAATTCACTAAAGTTTGACTTCTCATGAATTTTACATTTTAGTACAAAATAGCAATTTGTCTTTTTTGATTTTTTTTTAAGTCACTACATTGTACATTTTAGTGTAGGTGACCATTTTACTATTTAGCTATTCATTTCCAGCTACTTATTCAGCTTCTCGTTTTTCTTCACAGTATATTGACTGTAAATTTTCCAGGTCTTGCGCAGAGAGCGCGTATGGAGTTTTACACTTATATGGGCTATTTAATGATTGTGAAGTTCCCGAGTTTTTATAATACAGGAAATATGAGGTTCTCACTAATGGTAATTGAACATTTTGAGTTTCCTTGTTGTGAATATACATAAACAGGAGGTTGCATCCTCATTTAACTGCCTTGTCATATTACATCTTTACAAACTTTACATATTACAATCTCATTGAGTCCTCTAAACTTTGAAGGCTGTACATTGTCATAGCGTATATGACTGTGAAGATTTTATAATGTTTTTTGCACATTAGAAATACTATAGCAATTCATTTTAAAAACATGTTTCAGGCTTTAATTGATCAGGAATCTCATCACGTGGGGATCAATTTTGTTAGATTGAACTGCCTTAGCTCATCCTTGATTCATCCAAATAAATTAGCGTTTCCATTTTCCATATCTTCGTATGAGTGGTATTCTGAAATAAAGCTAACACAAAAGTTAAAACAAAACAATAATGTTGAAGTATAAAACAGCAAAGTAAAGTACGTCTCATCCAAAAAGACTGTTTATGAAGAAATTAACTTCAGTAACGATAGCCGTTTAAACAGCATAACACAACTAGTAGCTATACATATGCTTATGCAAAAAAAATAATTGTAATAAAAAATAAATAAAAACAAAATATATGCATATTTTATATATTATAGTGCACACACACACACACACATATACATTTTTAGGTTAATACAAGTATTATTATTTTTTAATTATTAACCCATTGTGTTTGTTTTGTGTTTTTAAATATATTTTATAATGCACTCTTTTTAAAAAAAAATCCTTTTGTAAGTGTGAGCATGACTGAACTTAGGTTAGGAGCCTAAGATACAATCGTTGTGCTGTTTTTGTAACCCTTGTTTGGGATAAAGAGAATAAAAAAAAAGCTAAACATAAGGGAAGGAGAGGACTGTCTGTCTGTTAGTTAGTTCAGATCTGTAGCCCACTGGGTCCATATTTCCCTAGCCAGTGTTCCTTTGAGATTCTTATGTTTATAGAGCATCAAAAATAATGTCACATCCCACCACCTTATTATCAATAAAGAGAGAGCAGCAATAGTGAAAGAGTTTCTGATAGAAGTTACTGTCACTTTGCATTTCCCCCAGTCTCTAAAAGGAAAATATAAAAATACCTTTCCATCAATGTGCATCTGCTTTGTGCTGAAATACATGAAAGGGTTACAAATGCACATTTATACTGGTATGGAAAATACCACATTTTTAAGAATTAGGTAGTCTGATGTCTCGCTCTCTCCTGTGGAGTCTGGTGATTTTTAAAGATGGTGGAGTACTAGACTCCACCCTCAGAATTTGGCCCCCCCATCCACCAATGCTGTAAACTAAATTTTCTGACCTGATTGTCAACCTCTAACAGTAGCCCTCATACAAAACACAGAGCTGCATACAAAACAGAAATATCCATAAAATACACAGTGCTAGGTATAATGCAGTGATATAAAAAAGAGCTAGATACAATAAAGAGCTACCTACACACAGGGGTAAGCCCCACCTATGGGAGAGGTGTAATTAACCACTCCCCCTTGTCAGGGCCATCTTAAATAATGATTGGACCCTGGGCAAGCATTTGTTTGGGCCCCCTGGACATGCTCCCCCCCCCCCTCGACTCACTGGCATGCAATCACGTCATACACCCCAACGCAGTGGCGGAACTAAAGTAGAAAGAGCCCTGGTGCAATAATTTGATTGGACCCCCCCATTGGAAGGTTGGACAAAAAGTAGAACCCTATCTGTCCAACAATGCTTTGACAGCTGGGGCTCTACCAGTTTCAAATGTTGTGGGCTGAGCTGTGTTTGTGTGTATGAATATAGGCATGTGTTTGTATGGAGTATGTTTACGTGAATGCGTTTGTATGTGGTGTTGAAGTTTAAATGCAAGTGTGCATTTATGTGTAGTGTTGGTTTTTAAATGTAGGGGTTTGTTTATATATAATTTTGGTGTTTAACACAGAGGTGTATTTGTATGTAGTGTTGACATTTCAATGCAGGAGTGTGTTTGTATGTAGTGTTGACGTTTCAATGCAGGAGTGTGTTTGTATGTAATGTTGGTTTGAATGGAGGGGTGTATTTGTATTTAATGTTGGTGCTCAGACGCACAGGTACACACATTGACACACATGCAGATACACAGATACACACACTGACTACATACAGATAAACACACTGACAACATACAGGTACACAGACACATAAACTGACAGGCATACTGACACACACAGGCACATACACTGGTAGATGTACTAACACACACTGACAGACATACTGACACACATACATACATATACAGACATACTGACGCACACAGATAGACAAACTGACACA